CCATTCTGCTGCGGAGAGGCCGGAAGCGTGAACGACTGGGTGATGCCGTGCTCCGCACAGTAGGCTGCCAAGAGGTCTGAGGTGAACTCACCACCTCTGTCAGAGTGCAGACGCAGGACAGAAAACTCCCGCTCGAACCGCCGGCGGAGCTGGAGACGCACAGCGCGGATCCAGGGGATCAAAACATCAGGGACGTCCCCCTTGCTGCGCAAGGGGAAGACCGTGGTGTAGCGCGTGTAGTCGTCGACGACCAGCAGGAAGTACCGCTCGTGGCCCTGTCCACGGACGCGGGCTGGGCCCCACACGTCCAGGTGGAGCGTCTGCAGTGGAGCCTCTGTGGGAGGAAACGAGGAGGAGTGAGGAGCGGCGCGCTGCCGCCCCTCGACGCAAGGAATGCAGGGCGGCGCAGGCGAGGGAGGGAGGGCAGGCAGAGACCTGGGAAGACCAGAGACCAGGGAGCGAGAGTGCATGCTACGCAGGCGAGGCAAGGAGGGGTGACCAAGGCGGTGGTGCCACAGGAGAGTGTCGTGTGACAAAGCGCGACACTCGCAGGGGGCCGCCAGCTGACCAGACGTAGACGCAGACGCAGCTACCTGAGGGGACTCAGTGGTCAGTGTGTACAGACTCGAGCCAGGTGCACGGGTGAACGTGGCCAAGTGCCGGCCCGTCCTAGCACACGTACAGTGAGTCACTCGCTGACTCGCAGGAGTGAACTGGTCAACCCCGTGATCCTGGAGGTCAGCTCCACTCACCAAGTTCGGAAGCCAGACGGGACGGCCGGACACGGCAGAACCGTGGAGTAGTGGGCAAGGACTGGACCCCCAGAGGGGTCCGCCAGGGAGACCGGAACTGGCCGACTGAGCGGCGTGAGTGTGGTGCAGTCGCGAAAGAAAGAGCGAGAAGCTCCTGAGTCAAGGGTGAAGGTGTGCAAGACCGCAGCAGGCGCAGTACCAGAAAGAGCAAACTCACCAGCACCTAGAGCAGCACTCTCACCAGCACCTAGAGGAGGGACAGACGCACAAGCACCTAGAGCAGCAGCCTCACCAGTACCGAGAGCAGCAGGCGCTATACCAGGGTCAGGCGGGACGCACAGGTAACAGGCACGGTCGACACTAGTAGGCAATGCATACATGGCAGTGAGAATAGCATCATAGTCAAGTGCAAAGATATCTACCCTCTGTCCAAGCAGCTCCGGCCAGGCAGGGAGCTCAGCCTCGTCTCCAAACACGGTACGCCAGGCGTCGCTCAGACGGGCGAAGCAGCGGGACTGTGTGTGACCAAGCGTCCCGCAAGGCTGACCAGTCCTAACACCTGTGCGAATGACGTACGGGCAGCGAACGGTACGCGTAGACCTGCTACACTGAGTGTACCACTCCTGGAGCTGCCGGGGCGTAAGTGTCTCGCGAGGACGCCCCTGCAGCTGCAGCTGGCCACTGCCAGACGCCCCCAACTGACCAGCTCCAGGGCGACTGCTACGACGGCCACCTCGACAGCCCCAAACCCTATACCACTCATCAAGCTGCTGGGGCGTGAGAGACACGCAGGAACGACGCTGGAGCTGCATCTGGCCACCTGCTAATAGCAGGAGTAGTAGCAGTAGCGCGGGCAGGGCAGGCGCGACAGGCAGGCAGGCAAGCAGGCAGGCAGGCAGGCCGACAGGCAGGCAGGCAGACAAGCCGGCAGGCAGGCAGGCAGACAGGCCGGCAGGCAGGCAGGCAGGCAGGCAGGCAGACAGGCCGGCAGGCAGACAGGCAGGCAGGCAAGCAGGCAGGCAGGCAGGCCGGCAGGCAAGCAGGCAGGCAGGCAGGCAGGCAGGCAAGCAGACAGGCAGGCCGGCAGGCAGGCAGGCAGGCAGGCAGACAGGCAGGCCTGCAGGCAGGCAGGCAGGTGCTCACCAAAGGCTGGAAGAGCAGGCGCTCGCCGGGCGAGCAGGGTCGGCGCTCGACGGGCGGCGGCCGAGTAGGCGCACGACAGTGGCGACGTCGGGGCCGCAACAACGGCTGCAGAGTAGGGCCGCGGCAGCTGCAGGGCGGGACCGCTTCAGCGGCAGGCGCAGGGTGGGGCCGCGTCAGCGGCAGGTCGGGGTCGAGGCAGCTGTAGGGCGGGGCCGCATCAGCGGCAGGTCGGGGCCGTGGCAGCTGCAGGGCGGGGCCGCATCAGCGGCAGGTCGGGGCCGAGGCAGAGGGCCGCGCGCGGCTCGGCGCGGGCTGCGCTGACAGCGCGCTGGGCTGCTGCAGGCCGCGCGCGGCCGCGCTAGGCAGTAGCGGGCCGCGCGCGGCTCGGCGCGGGCTGCTGCGGGCCGCGCGAGGCAGTAGCAGGCCGCGCGCGGCTCGGCGCGGGCTGCTGCGGGCCGCGCGCGGGCCTCGCGAGGCCGTAGCAGGCCGCGCGCGGCTCGACGCGGGCTGCGTGGGCTCGGCGCGGGCTGCGCGCGGCAGCAGCGGGCTGCGCGCGGCTCGGTTCGGGCTGCGCGCGGCTGCTGCGGGCTGCGCGCGGCTCGGTGCGGGCTGCGCGCGGCTGCAGCGGGCTGCGTGGGCTCGGTGCGGGCTGCGCGCGGCTGCAGCGGGCTGCGCGCGGCTCGGTGCAGGCTACGCGGGCTCGGTGCGGGCAGCGCGCGGCAGCAGCGGGCTGCGCGCGGCTCGGTGCGGGCAGCGCGCGGCAGCAAGGGGCCTAACGGTCTGTAGGGGCGGCGCGCGGGCCTTACGGGCCTCTAGAAGCAGCGCGCTGGCCTAGGGCAGCAGGAGGCAGCGCTAGGGCTGCTGGACGGCGCGCGTAGTGCAGCACGTCACAAGGCAAGGCAAGGCAGGCAGGTACGTGGGGTAGCGCGGTAACCGCAGCGGTAGGTGGGCCCGAAAAAAAAACGGTCCTACGGACCTTAGTGCTCTGAAACCATGTTAGAATCTAGCAGCAGGAATGAATGAACTAACAGGATGCAGGAGTACAAGTAGTAAACCCTAATTGGGTTGTACCCCATATGGGCTACCCCACTACAGCCTAGACAATATGCAGCACATATAGTTTGACAATTTCCGCCTTTCCAAACCTCACCAAGGCGCTGTTCTGTAGGCGTTAAATTCCAAAAGTCTGGGTCCGCGGAATCTTCGCTGATAAGTGGATTTCTGCTTATCAATGTTTGGTGATAAGCGAAGTCCTGCCAAACCTGTTCGCGCTAAATTTAACGCTCTCGCCTGCAGAACACCACTTTTAGGGCGCATAAATTTAACCGTCTGCAGGTTCGAAGTTGTTGCTTCGTCGGGCAAATGGCCGCACAACTTGTGCGGTGCTGATTCTACCTCGGGAGCTAGCATCAGCCTCCGCACAAGTTATGCGGGGCAGCAATTTCCGTGCAACGCAACCTGCGTGAATGCGCCTAGAAGTTACGCAGAAGGCCACGGCGGTCAAATTGGTGCGCCGCCAATAACGCCTGCAGAACAACGCCCAAAGGCTGCTCAACCGTAGCGCGTCATTCTTTCGGCATCAGCCTGAGAGAGTATTTACATTATATCTTGGCCGATGGATGGATGTCCTCTTTGGCTAGGTGAGCTTGACATCCTCTTCAACGTACACCCCAGCAGTCCATCAGTCCATCAGTCACCCCAGCTGCCAGCAAAGATTCCAGAAGCAGTTTCTGTAAATCCGTGTAGTTGCTTCTGGGAACCATTATTGTGAATCGCTTTTATCTCAAGCAGAAAAGCTTGATCCGAGTTTTCGACCATGGATTCGGAAGCGCACATTAACAGACTGTCTGACGACCTACTTATTAGGATCTTGTGGCATACTTCCAGATTACCGCTGTCTGCTATTTACGACACTGACGCTACATGCAACGACGGGACATGCAACAAGCCTACATGCGGCAATGCTACGCGCGACGATGCCACGTGCGACGATGCTCCGTGCGACAATACTGCATGCGACGCTTTGTATCCAAGGCAGAAATACTTCTGGACGCAATATCCGCCCAAGGTCTCAAGCGGAAGTGAACACAACTCTCTCGTACGGGCTCCTCCGGCATTCACCGATGCAGCTCTTAGTCTCCTCATCGCTTCTGTTTGCCGGCGCTGGCGCCGTCTCTCACAGCGTTACGTCTCGACGCTTCTCGTCAGGAAAAATCTCACCGTTTCTCGCCAGGACCTCGCCAACGCTGTCTCATGCTTCCCGAATCTCACTCACCTTCATGTGTGCGACGGCAGCGTGGAAACCCTAGATGATGGCTTCCTCTCTCACCTCGGCTCATCTTGCCCTAAGCTGACGGTTCTTCACGTGGGAAACAAGATCACGGGAGATCCAGAAAACGACGACAGGAAGCACTTACACCCGGTTACCGAAGCTGGTTTGGATGAGCTCTTTCGGCAATGCAAGCAACTGGAAGTTCTTTCGCTTTACTGCCTTCACCCGAACGTCATCTTCCCGGCTTCTTTCTTCCAGCTTTCGCGGCTTCGTATTCTCGTCCTCCCAGACGCATCAGCAATGGAAGATCCCGGTTTCTCGCAACTCTCATGGACCTGGTTTACAAGCAGCTCGTGAATCTCGTTAAGCTGCCAAACCTTACCGACCTTACAATCAATTACGATCCCTTCGATGACGAACCAACCGCGATCTTTTCCGTTTCGCATCTGCGATTTCTGGAGTCACTGCAAATCGAGGGAGAAGGTTTTTATTTCAGCTGTTTCTTTCCCTCGAATCTGCCGTGCGCCAGGCTGGAACGGCTGGTGATTGCGAATTGCAACGTGAAGCAGCTGCCGGATGACCTTGGAGAGATTCTGCCGTGTCTCCGCGAGCTGACTCTTCGCTGGTGCTATGAACTCACCCGACTGCCTGAAGATTTCACGTCTCTGGCCCGGTTGGAGAGCCTAACAGTCTCCTCATGCCTCCGATTTTCCAGCATGCCCCACAATTTCGGCCATTTGCCTGCCCTGAAGTCACTGGTTCTTCGCAGGCTGGAATCCCTAACCAACCTCCCTGACTCCATCGGCCATCTCGAATCCCTCGAAAGGATCACCATGTACATGCTTCCTATCAGGGATTTCCCTGAATCATTTCCTTGCCTCACCTCCCTGAAGACCCTGATTATGGTTGGTTGCTGTGAGATCCAGCAGCTTCCTGCGAATTTCGGCCGCCTAGGAGCTCTTAAGACGCTGCGCTTGGTGAAGCAGCCGCAATTGAAGCTTCCCGTGGAATTGGGGGGAATGGCTGCCATCCAAGGGATTTATGAGGGAGAGGTCTTCAATCGGCTGCAGCTCCCTGGGTCACTCACTCAGTTAACTTCGCTGACTCGGCTTGACCTGGACTTCATTTCGAATGAGAAGCTTCCCGAGGAGATTGGGAAGCCGAGTCAGCTGCGGCAGCTGCACATCCAGTGCTGTTTTGATCTCAGGGGGATTCCAGAATCCGTAACAGGGCTGACTAATCTGGAGATCCTCACAATTGGGTTGTGTAGCCAGCTCGTGTCACTTCCCAACAATCTAGGTACTCTTGTGAAGCTCAAACGGCTGGAGATTATGGGCTGTCACCCTGCTGTATGGCTGAACGGACTTCCAAGCTCCCTTCCATCCTCTCTCGAGTCCCTTAGCCTGGGAAGCTACAATGAGACCATGCATCTGCCAGACCTCCCTATGCTGCCGAATCTCAAGAAGCTGACTTTGAACCTGGTCAATGTGGAGAGTGGGGAAGCTGGTGTGACTGACCCCAGTGTTTTGCCGCGGTTAGAGCATCTGGAGTTGGTGTTAGCGGAAGATGCAGAGGAGCTCTCATTCCCCTTGGCGTCTCTCCCCCAGCTGCGGATTCTGGTGATTTCCAGGGCTGGTAACATCAAGAAGCTTCCAAGAAGCATCGGCTCTGATCTGAAGCAGCTGCGGCGCTTGCAGATAGAGAATGCTCCAGAACTGAAAGTGCTGCCAGAAACGATCTCTCAGCTTCGCCATCTGACCTCCTTGGACGTTCATGCACCCAAGCTTACTTCACTTCCCACCAGCATCGGTGCATTATCGAGACTAAGGGTGCTGAATCTCTCAGACTGTTCCGCGCTGGAGAGTCTCCCTGCTTCCCTCACCCAGCTTGCCTGCCTGAACAAGCTGAGCGTTGCAAGCACTGCCATCCGCTCTCTTCCAGGAAACTTCGCGCAGCTGACCCGGCTCAAGAGCCTTGATTTGTACGGATGTGCGGAACTGGAGAGTTTGCCCGAAGATTTCTCTCAGCTCGAGATGCTGCAGCTAGTGAGGTATGGTGGGTGCACGCAGGAACTGAATAGGAAACGAGAACAGGAGTTAATGGACCCTGACATGTATGGGTTATTGATTCGCGATTATTAGTGTGCATATATGGGTTGGACATCCTTGGATGCCTAGTTGCTGGGTGGCTTGTGTTGGGTGTGTATGTAGCTGTGCTTTCATGGGCCAGACCAGGCACTGGACGAGAAGGGAATAGATAAATGATTTGGTGCAGGATTGATGCTAGTTGTCAGGCTGTAGGGGTCAATGTTATGGGTGCTGAAGTGTGCTGAATAGGGAATACGACGATGGCTTACCTTTATAGATTTGTCGTGTACCAGCTTGCTGGTTAATGAAGATACCAGGAGAGGCGAGTCCTTGTGCATAACGTACTGGTACATTGTACAAATGCAGGCACACATATACCGGTATGTCAAACTATATGTGCTGCATATTGTCTAGGCTGTAGTGGGGTAGCCCATATGGGGTACAACCTAGTTAGGGTTTACTACTTGTACTCCTGCATCCTGTTAGTTCATCCATTCCTGCTGCTAGATTCTAACATGGTTTCAGAGCACTAAGGTCCGTAGGACCGTTTTTTTTCGGGCCCACCTACCGCTGCGGTTACCGCGCTACCCCACGTAGCCTTGCCTTGCCTTGTATGCCTTGCCTTGCCTTGCCTTGCCTGCGCGCTGCCCCTAGAGGCCCGTAAGGCCCGCGCGCCGCCTCTACACGCCTGTCGGGCCCGCACACACGCTGCTACCGCGCGCTGCCCGCACCGAGATCGCGCAGCCCGCCCCGAGTCGCGCGCAGCCCGCTGCAGCCACGCGCAGCCCGCACCGAGCCGCGCGCAGCCCGCTGCAGCCGCGCGCAGCCTGCACCGAGCCGCGCACAGCCCGCTGCAACCGCGCGCAGCCCGCACCGAGCCGCGCGCAGCTCGCAGCTGCCGCGCGCAGCCCGCGCCGAGCCCGCGCAGCCCGCGTCGAGCCGCGCGCGGCCTGCTACGGCCTCGCGCAGCCCGCGTCGAGCCGCGCGCGGCCTGCTACGGCCTCGCGCAGCCCGCGCGCGGCCCGCAGCAGCTCGTGCCGAGCCGCGCGAGGCCTGCTCCTGCCTCGCACGGCCCGCGCGCGGCCCGCAACAGCCCGCGCCGAGCCGCGCGCGGCCCGCTACTCCCTAGCGCGGCCGCGCGCGGCCCTTTGCCTCGGCCCCGACCTGCCGCTGATGCGGCCCCGCCCAGCAGCTGCCATGGCCCCGACCTGCCGCTGATGCGGCCCCGCCCTGCAGCTGCCACGACCCCGACCTGCCGCTGACGCGGCCCCACCCTGCTACTGCCGCTGACGCGGCCCCGCCCTCCAGCTGTTTCGGCCCTGCTCTGCAGCCGGTTTTGCGGCCCCGACGTCGCCGCTGTCGTGCGCCTACTCGAGCGCCGGCCCTGCTCTCCCAGCCTTTGGTGAGCGCCTGCCTGCCTGCCTGCCGGCCTGCCTGCCTGCCTGCCTGTCTGCCTGCGTGTCTACTTGCCTGCCTGCCTGCCTGCCTACCTGCCTGCCTGTCTGCCTGCCTGCCTGCCTGCCTGGCTGCCTGCCTACCTGCCGGCCTGCCTGCCTGCCTGCCTGCCTGCTTGCTTGCCTGCCTGCCGCGCCTGCCTTGCCTGCGCTACTGCTACTGGCAGGTGGCCAGATGCAGCTCCAGCGACATTCACGCGAGCCTCTGACGCCTCAGCAGCTTAGTGAGTGGTATACTAGCTGGGGTTGTCGCGGTAGCCGTCGTAGCTGTCGCCCTGGAGCTGGTCAGTTGGGAGCGTCTGGCAGTGGCCAGCTGCAGCTGCAGGGACGTCCACGTGAGACACTTACGCCCCGGCAGCTCCAGGAGTGGTACGCTCAGTGTAGCAGGTCTACGCGTACAGTCCGCTGCCCGTACGTCATTCGCACAGGTGCTAGGACTGGTCAGCCTTGTGGGACGCTTGGTCACACACAGTCCCGCTGCTTCGCCCGTCTGAGCGACGACTGGCGCACAGTGTTTGGCGACGAGGCTGAGCTCCCCACCTGGCTGGAGCTGCATAGACAGAGGGTAGATATCTTTGCGCTTGACTATGATGCTATTCTCACTGCCATGTATGCATTGTCTACTAGTGCTGACCGTGCCTGTTGCCTGTGCGTACCGCCTGACCCTGGTGAGGCTGCTGCCCTAGGTGCTAGTGCGTCTCCTGCTCTAGGTGCTGGTGAGGCTGCTGCTCTCGGTGCTAGTACGTCTACTGCTCTAGGTACTGGTGAGGCCGTGGCATCAGGTGCTGCTGTGTCTGCTCTCTCTGGTACTGCGCCCACTGCGGTCTCGCACACCTTCACCCTTGACTCAGGAGCTTCCCGCTCCTTCTTTCGCGACTGCACCGCACTCACGCCGCTCCGTCGGCCAGTCCCGGTCTCCCTGGCGGACCCCTCTGGGGGTCCAGTCCTTGCCCACTACTCCACGGTTCTGCCGTGTCCGGCCGTCCCGTCTGGCTTCCGAACTTGGTGAGTGGAGCTGACCTCCAGGATCACGGGGTTGACCAGTTCACTCCTGCGAGTCAGCGAGTGACTCACTGTACGTGTGCTAGGACGGGCCGGCACTTGGCCACGTTCACCCGTGCACCTGGCTCGAGTCTGTACACACTGACCACTGAGTCCCCTCAGGTAGCTGCGTCTGCGTTTGCGTCTGCGTCTGGTCAGCTGGCGGCCCCCTGCGAGTGTCGCGCTTTGTCGCACGACACTCTCCTGTGGCACCACCGCCTTGGTCACCCCTCCTTGCCTCGCCTGCGTAGCATGCACTCTCGCTCCCTGGTCTCTGGTCTTCCCAGGTCCCTGCCTGCCCTCCCTCCCTCGCCTGACACCGGAGGTTCTGGAGCCGTTGGGGGTGCGGGCGCTGAGGGTTCTGAGTCTGCTGTTGCGCGGTCTCCTTGGAGTGGCCGCCTTCGTCCCCGTGTGCCTCTCACCCCACAGCAGCTGCAGGACTGGTACGGTCGCCGTCAGCGTCGCGCTGCTGGAGCTCGGAGTCGTGCTGGTCCTTTGTCTACTGGAGGTGCTGGTTCTGGGGGTGCTACTGCTGGAGACCCTGCGGTTGGAGACCCTGGGACTGGAGGTGCTGGTTCTGGGGGTGCTGCTGCTGGAGACACAGAGGTTGGAGACCCTGGGACTCGAGGTGTCGGCTCTGGGCCTGGAGCTTCTGGAGCTGCTGGAGGTACTGGAGCTACTGGAGGTACTGGAGCTGCTGGAGGCACTGGAGCTGCTGGAGCTGCTGGTTCTGGTGCAGCTGCGCCGACACGACTGTTCTTCGCTCCGCCGTCTCCGTCGTCTCTGCCGCCGTCTGCCTCTGTTCTTCGTCAGGTTCTTACTCTTCCGTCGTCTACTGGTCTTCCGTTACAGACTGGCTCGCCGCTGCCTGCTCCTTCTCCTTACGCTGAGCTGACTGGTAGTCCTGCTGTGCGTCGTGAGCCTGCGTCGCGTCCTGTCTCGCCTGCTCGTCCTGGTCGTACCGGTCCTCGTGTTCCTCGTTCGCGTCCGCCGGCTGTCCCCAGCGCGCACCTCGTAGTCCGTCGTCCTTCCTCTGTTCCGCAGCCTGTTCCTCTGCCGTCTCCTCCTGCGTCCTCTTTGCCTGACGTTCCAAACCCTGCGTCTGACCGGTTTCGTGCTCAGCACCCTACTGTCACGCGTCTACTAGCCACAGTTGTCACTGACCCGTCGTTTGAGTCTGCTGCTGCGTCTGCTCTTGTCGCTGAGCTTGTTGACTTTGCTGCTGCCTGTCGTCTAGACTTCACTGCCAGTCTTGTTACTGAGTCTGAGTCTGTCTGTCCTCCGTCCGTCGGGGGTGAGTGTGCTCTTAGCACGGACGTCCTTGAGGACAGGCAGGAGGAGTTCCAGTGCCTTGCTGCTGCTTTACCTCATCTTGTGTCCTCGCTACTTGCCCCTGAGGGAGACCCGGATGCACCAGACATCCCGACTCCGCGCTCTTACGCAGAGGCGATAGAGGGTCCCTACTCCTCTCAGTGGCAGGCAGCCATGGACGCAGAGATGGCTTCCTGGAAGTCCACAGGCACCTACGTTGACGAGGTTCCCCCACCTGGGGCGAACATCGTCAGTGGCATGTGGATTTTCAGGGTGAAGCGGCCGCCGGGTTCTCCGCCTGTCTTCAAGGCGCGTTACGTGGCTCGAGGCTTCAGTCAGCGAGAGGGAGTTGACTTCTTCCAGACCTTCTCCCCCACTCCGAAGATGACCACTCTTCGGGTGCTGCTGCACGTTGCTGCTCACCGTGACTACGAGCTTCACTCTCTTGACTTCAGCACAGCTTTCCTGCAGGGCAGCCTGCACGAGGAGATCTGGCTGCGCCGCCCCCCGGGCTTCACTGGGTCGTTCCCTCCTGGTACCCAGTGGAGCCTCCGGCGGCCGGTCTACGGTCTCCGCCAGGCGCCACGTGAGTGGCACGACACACTGAGGACTACGCTTGCGGCTCTTGGGTTTGCGCCTTCTACTGCTGACCCGTCGCTGTTTCTGCGCACCGACACTTCCCTGCCGCCGTTCTACATCCTCGTGTATGTCGACGACTTGGTTTTTGCCACTGCTGACACTGAGGCTCTCGCCCACGTGAAGTCGGAGCTGCAGAAGAGACACACGTGCACAGACTTGGGTGAGCTGCGCAGCTACCTTGGCTTGCAGATCACCCGAGACAGAGCACGTCGCACCATCACCTTGACTCAGTCACACATGGTGCAGCAGGTCCTTCAGCGCTTCGGCTTCACCTGGTCTTCAGCACAGGCCACTCCTCTGGCTACAGGTCACACGCTCTCAGCTCCACCTTCGGACGAGTCCGTAGAGCCGAGTGGTCCTTACCCAGAGCTAGTCGGCTGCCTCATGTACCTGATGACTTGCACTCGACCTGACCTCGCGTACCCTCTTGGTCTCCTGGCTCGCTACGTGGCTCCTGGTCGGCACCGACCTGAGCACATGGCTGCTGCTAAGAGGGTACTGCGTTACTTGTGCAGCACATCAGGCATGGGGCTAGTGCTTGGAGGGACGAGCCCAGTTGTCCTCACTGGGCACTCAGACGCTTCTTGGGTTGACGACCTGGCTACTCAGCGGTCGTCACAGGGTTACACCTTCAGCCTTGGCTCTGGTTCAGTTTCGTGGCGTTCTACACGCTCGACTTCAGTTCTCGGCTCCAGTTGTGAGGCTGAGATCTACGCCACCGCCATGGCTGCACAGGAGTTACGCTGGCTCACCTACCTGCTGACTGACTTGGGAGAGCAGCCTCGTTCTCCTCCAGTGCTGTACGTTGACAACAAGGCCGCCATTGCCTTGTGTGAGGAGCACAGACTGGAGCACAGAACGAAGCACATTGCTCTGCGGTACTTCCTGGCTCGAGAGTTGCAGCAGCGAGGCCAGCTTCGTCTTCGCCACGTGGCCACTCGGGCCAACACTGCTGACATATTCACCAAGGCACTTCCGTCTGGTGATCATCAGCGCTTTTGTACTCTGTTAGGCCTTGTGCCTACGTTTCCACACTTGCTGTAGTCTCTGCTTGTACTGTGATCTGTACATATATATATATATATATATATATATATATATATATATATATATATATATATATATATATATATATATATATATATATATATATATATATATATGCATGCTGGCTCTTGCTAGGTAGCCATCACTGTACTGTTATTGCTGCATATATATCTCTGCATGTGAACTGGCCCAGTGGCCCTTTGCTTGTGCTCAGAATGCGTGGTGACGTTGTGATCCACCCTGAGCTTGTTTTGCTTCTCTTGACTGGTCGTGTGACCCCTTGTTCTCCCCCACTTTGCCTATGGGGGTGTGTCAAACTATATGTGCTGCATATTGTCTAGGCTGTAGTGGGGTAGCCCATATGGGGTACAACCTAGTTAGGGTTTACTACTTGTACTCCTGCATCCTGTTAGTTCATCCATTCCTGCTGCTAGATTCTAACACGGTACACTCATTCCAGTTACAGCGCTCTCTTCACAGGCTGTGCACGTGCATGTGAGCTGTTCTGTGCAACTGCATTTGAGCTCAGGCTAGCACCTTACAACGCTATGGGAGAAGCACAATGCAATTACGGTAGGCAACCATTAACAAATACAAGCATCCTTTGACACTACTGCAGTATACGGTACTGTCATTTGTAAAACCTAATCTGTGGGGTTTCCTTTCGTTCCCCTTCCCAACCAACCCCTCTTCATACGGTACGGTAGGTTTATTTAATGCATGCCGGATAGGATCCTCAAGCTTGCACCCAAACCATTGATCCAAGCCCCTTCTCGTCCACTGTCTAGTCCATTAAAGCACAATCACACCACACCACACCCAACACTCACAATATCTCCCCACGCAGTATGAAGAATAGCATCAGACAGCCAACCTATTTTCGAAAACGAATAATGCTAAACTGGAAACAAATACATGCACAACTAGTAACGCTGAACCGTCAACCCATACATGCCATGGCGTCGTAAGTCCTGTTCTCGTTCCCTGTTCAGTTCATCCGTGCATCCACCAAACCTAAAGAACTGCAGCACCTCAAGCTCAGAGAAATCTTCGGGCAGACTCTCCAATCGTGCACATCCATACAAGTCCAGGCTCTTGAGCCGGGTCAGCTGGGCAAAGTTCACTGGAAGCGAGCGGATGGCGGTGTGTCCAAGATTCAGCTTGTTCAGGCACCCAAGTTGGGTGAGAGAAGCAGGGAGGTTTTCCAGGGCAGAGCAGTCTGACAGATCGAGCCCCCTTAGCCTGGATAGCGCACCGATGCTGGTGGGAAGGGAGGCCAGCTTGGGTGCATGAACCTCCAAGGAGGTCAGATGGCGAAGCTGAGATATCGTTTCTGGCAGCACCGTCAACTCTGCAGCATGCTCTATCTGCACGTGCCGGAGCTGCTTCAGATCTGCACCGATGCTTGCTGGGAGCTTCTCAATGTTACCAGCCCTAGAGATGACCAGAACTCGCAGCTGAGGGACAGACGCCAAGGGGAATGCCAGTTCCGTTGCATCCTCCGCCAACACCAACTCCAGGTGCTGCAACATTGGCAATGCACTACGTTCGGACACACTGGCTCCCCCACCCTCCACATCGACCAGATTCAGCGTCAGCTTCTTGAGATTCGGCAGCATTGGGAATTTTGGCAGATGCACGGTCTGATTGTAGCTCCCAAGGCTAAGGGACTCGAGGGAGGAAGGTAGGAAAACAGGCAGTCCGTCTTGCCAGATAGCAGGGTGACATCCGGTCAGCTCCAACTGCCTAAGCTTTACAAGGGTATCAAGCTTCCTGGGAAGTGACACGAGCTCGTTGCACATCCCAACTGTCAAAGTGTGTAAATTAGTCAGCCCTGTCACAGTTTCTGGAACCTCCCTGAGATTGAAGCAGCGATGAATGCTCAGGTGCCGCAGCTGATTCAGCTTCCCAATCCCCTCCGGAAGCTTCTCGTCCGAAATCAGATCCAGGTCAAGCCGGGTCAACGAAGTCAACTCGGTTAGTGAACCTGGGAGTTGCAGCGGGTTGAACACCACATCCGGGAAAATCCTCTGGATACCAGCCATTCCCTCCAAGCCCTCGGGGAGACGCAGCAGGGGCAGCTTCACAATGCACAGGGTCCTGAGAGTTCCCAAACGACCGAAATTCGCTGGAAGCTGCCTCAACTCGCGGCAACCCACCATGACGAGGGTCTTCAAAGAATTGAGAAAGGCGAAGGACTCAGGAGGTTCCGTGAGGGGAAGCATATACATGGTAAGTGTCTCCAGGGATTCTAGACGCCCGAAAGAGTCAGGGAGGTTGGTTAGAGGCAAATTGCGCAGCACCAATCTTTTCAGGGCAAATAAGCGGCCGAAATCGTCGGGCAGGCTGGTAAGGTTGAGGCACGATGAGATTTTCAGGCTCTCTAACTGGGCCAGCGACGTGAATTTCTGAGGCAGCCGCGTCAGTCCTGTGCACCAGCTAAGGGTCAGCTCGCGGAGAAACGGCAGAATCTCTCCGAGGTCGTCCGGAAGCCGGTCGAGGAAGTGGGAACCCGCAATCACCAGCCGCTTCAGCCTGGAGCACGGCAATCCCAAGGGAAGAAACAAGATGAACGGCGACGCCTCTCCCTCGAGCTGCAGAGACGTGAGAAACGGCAGCTGTGAGACGGAGAATTCCCAAGATGGCGTTTCCTCCGTTGATTCCTCTACCTCGGGGTCGTAGGTGATGGCCAGGCTGGTAAGCTGCGGCAGGTGCACGAGATTTCCAAGTTGGTGATAAATCAGGTTCGGAGAGGTAATGCGGATCGAGCTGAGAGACGAAAGCGCCGGAAAATGAGGAGCAGTCAGCGCTGACGCGTCCGGGAGAACGAGGGTGCGGAGCCACGAGAGGTGGAAGAACGTAGCCGGGAATTCGACGCTCGGGTGAAGAGCGGATCCGAGGCGGTCGAAGGAGATAACCTCCAGCTGCGTGCATCCCTGAAAGAGCCGATCCAGGCCAGTTTCGGTAATCGGGTGAAGGTGCTTTTTCAGCGGGACTTCCACATCTTTAGTGATCCTGCTTCCCACGTGAAGAACCGTTAGCTTAGGGCATGTCGAGGCGAGGTGAGAGAGAAAGGCGTCGTCTAGAGTTTCCACGCTTCCGTCGCACAGATGAAGGTGGGTAAGGCTCGGGAAGCAGGAGACGGCGTTGGCGAGGTCTTGGCGAGAAACAGCGACATTTTCTCTGACGAGAAGCGTCGAGACGTAACGCTGGGAGAGACGGCGCCAGCGACGGCATACGGAAGCGACGAGGAGGCTAAGAGCTGCGTCCGTGAAGGCTGGAGGAGTCGTCACGAAAAAGTTCCCCTCGCTATCGCTTGAGTGCTCTGGCGGATGTTTAGTCCAGAAGTATTTCTGCCTCGGACATAAAGAGTCGCACGTAGCATCGTCGCATGTAGCATCGTCGTACGTAGCATCACCGTCGAAAATAGTGGATAGCGGTGTTCTGGAGCTATGCCATAGAATCCTGATAAGTAGGTCGTCAGACAATCTGTTTATGTGCGCACGAGAATCCATGGTTGAGAGCTCGGCTGAAATCAACACGCATTTCTGTTGGAACTAGAAGCTATTCGCAGTAATGGCTCCCAGAAGCAACTAAACTGAATTTCAGAAACTACTCCTGCTACCTAAACTGGTCGCTGAAGTGACTGACTGATTTACGTTGAGGTGAGGAGGATGTCTAACGCACCCTCCCAAGAAGGATGCCCATCCGTCAGTGAGCTATCAGAAAACGTTGAGTTTCGAGTTCATAATGAAATCGTTGCGCACTTTGGTGAAGTAGCCGTTGGTGAGGGTTGCCAAGGCGGGAAATGAACTCCCTAAACTCCCTCCCCTGGTTTCGCGTCGCGTCATCGCGTCGCGACTGTTTCTGTATCATGTCACCCGCTCCTGGCAAGCCGGGCAGGCAGCTGTTCAGCTATTCAAACACAAAATTTAAATGTGAACATATTTTGGCTCTCTCTCTCAGAAGAAGAAAGAAAAGTTACCATTACATCATGAAACACAATGATTGGAAGAAAGCACACATATGAAGATAGGGCGCAAATAGGAAACAAGAACAGTTGGGAGCACCACCAACAAGCAACATATAACTACACTGAAGCTACTGCAACAGGGAAATATCATATAAATATATATCACGACAATTTCAGAGTGGTTTTTGCCGGCAACCTCGTTGGACCATCAAGACCACATAAATCGTGGAACTCCGATAAATCAGGTTGGACCAATCCAGTCCGAGGGTTTGCTCCTCCGGACCGGACCCTGCTGTAATGAGCGATGCACCCACTTCTGGTGCCAGAATCAGCTTCCTCACCGCCCCACCCCTTTTTTCCTCCGTGATGCTCGCCTCGCCTCAATCCCACATCCAAGTCAGCAGTCGGTGCTGCTGTACTAAGGCGCTCGTGGTGTGCCTCGAGTCGACTCAGACGGGACCCTGCTCTGATCCCTACGTCAGCCAAGCAGTCAATATTCTGATGTGGTGACTTTTGAGTCGACTCAAACAGCGCCTGCTCCAAACCCTGCTGTTATGAGCGCAGCGAGCAATTCCTGTGCCACAATCGGCTTCCTCACTGCCCCATCCATGCCTGCCTCCATGCACGCTCGCTTCACACCCACATCCAGGTCAGCCGTCAATGCAATTATGCACAGGTGATCCTGTGCTGTGCCTGCTTCCGTGGTGGCATCGACTGCACTTGATGCTGCTGCTGCTGCTGCTGCTGCTGCTGCTGCTGCTGCTGCTGCTGCTGCTGCTGCTGCTGCTGCTGGTGCTTCTGCGGCTGCATCACTGGCGGTTTCGACTCCCTCTAACATCTGGTTCTGTGGTGTTGCCTTGCTGCTGCTGCGCTGTGCACTCTCCTCCATCGCTCGAACCCGACGGGCCGTCTCAAACCTGTTGGGAAACAACGAGGGCAAGAGAGAGATGAAAACAACACAGATGAGGGACCACAGTTGTGCTTGTGTGTGCCTCTCGCATGTGGTGCTCGTGTTGTGCGCTCTCCTCCATCTCTCGGACCCGACGAGCTGTCTCAAATCAGTTGGGAAATGGGATGCGATTGGTGGAAAGAGAGGGATGCGAACACGGCACTCACCCGTCGATGCCGGGTGGCATGTGGAGGTCAAGTAGCAACAAGTGGATGGGCGGGGAGGAAGGCGCCTGTGGAGGCGCCTCAAGAGCAGAGCAGAGCGAATGGATGGGCGAGGAGGGCGCCTGTTGAGGCGCCTCAAGAGCAGAGGAGAGTGCCTGCAGCGCGTCCTCCCCGGAGGGCAGCAGCAGCACGTGCGCCCCGTAGCCCTGCAGTGTTCTCCTTGCCACCATGCGGTTCACCGCGTTGTCATCCACCACCGCCACCCCCCGCCCCGCCAGTGCTGCTCGCAGCAGCCCCTCCGCCTCGTCTGCTGCGCCCTCCCCGTGCGCTTGCAGCTTGTGGAGAGATTGCGCACGTGTCATTCCCCGGCCTGATGCCCCCACTGCACGAGCCTTCCCCTTCTTTGCATGTCCCATGCCCTCCGTGTGGGAGTGGGATTTCAGGAGTGAATGCGACCGTGCTATCCGTCGTCCTGCCTTCCCCACAACTGCCACCGACTTTTCCTTCTCCTCCTCCGCCGCCGCAGCTGCCACGGCCAGCACTGCTGGCAACCCCCCCTCCTCTGCTGCCGCTGCCGCCACTGCTGGCAACCCCCCCTCCTCTGCTGCCGCTGCCGCCACAGCTGGCGAAACCCCCCCCGCCTCTCCTGCGCGCTCCAAGGATTCGAATATGCCAGCTCGCGTCTGGGGGTGGGGTTTCGGGAGTGAGTGCATCCGAGCTGGCGGCCGCCCCACCCTGCGAGAGTGCGCTCGTGCTGCCTGCTGCTGCAGAGTTTCCTCCTGCTGCCCAGGTGGCTGCTGCTGCTGCCCAGGTGGGTGCTGCAGAGGTGCCTGCTGCAGAGGTGCCTGCTGCAGATGCTGCAGATGCTGCAGATGCTGCTGCTGCTGCTGCTGCTGCTGCTGCTGCTGCTGCTGCTGCTGCTGCTGCAGCAGCAGCAAAGGCTCCTGCTGCTTCTCAGATGACTGCCGCTGCTGCTGCTGCAGATGCTGCTGCTGCTGCTGCTGCTGCTGCTGCTGCTGCTGCTGCTGCTGCTGCTGCTGCTGCTGCTCCTGCCGAGGTCCCTGCTCCTGCCCAGGTTCCTGCACGTCTGGCATTGCAGCACTCGCAAACTCCACACACTCCCCGTCACTCCCTGACCCACACCCATCCCTTTCACCACCACTCTCTTCATCTTCCCCCCAATCCCCGAAGCTGCTGCTGTCCTCTTCTCCCCTCAAGGGCAGCGCCAGTAGAATGGTGGTGCCTGTAGCGGCGTGTGACAGCACTGCCATGTCTCCCCCCATCTCAGCCACCTGCTCGGGGAGAAAGGGGGGGTTATTGGGAAGTAGGGGAGCAGTGGAGAGACAAGGTGGGAATGGTGGTGCCTGTGGCGGCGTGTGACAGCACTGCCCCTGCTGGAAGCTCTACCCCGTCCTCTTCCTGCTCTCCACTGCGCTTGTGAGTGCCATTGCCGTGCGGTTCCCCTTCCTTCCTGCCCTTGACTCAAAGGCCCGGATTTTTCTAACAAAAAAATATGTACCAGCAGGTGAGCAGGTGGCTGAGATGGGAGGAGACATGACAGTGCTGACACACGCATCTACAGGCACCACCATTCTCACCTTGTCACTCCCCACCCCTCCTCTGCCCCTCCTTCTCACTTCCCTTGTTTCACCCCAACAGGTGGCTGAGATGGGCAGCTGGGGGAGGAACAAACCACACAGGTAGCACAAGGCGGGCGGTGGCACTTACAAGCGCGGTGGAGAGCAGGAAGCGGACGGGGTAGGGCGTCCAGCGGGGGCGAGCAGCGGACCTCTGGTCGTGCGTGAGAGTGGCGGTTGTTGCTATCCTGCTGCCCCGGCCACTGAAGAAGTGGGGGAAGAAAGTATCCTGGTGGGGTGTGGACGGTGGGGTGTGGACGGTGGGGTGTGGACGGTGGGGTGTGGACGGTGGGGTGTGGACGGTGGGGTGTGGACGGTGGGGTGTGGACGGTGGGGTGTGGACGGTGGGGTGTGGACGGTGGGGTGTGGACGGTGGGGTGTGGACGGTGGGGTGTGGACGGTGGGGTGTGGACGGTGGGGTGTGGACGGTGGGGTGTGGACGGTGGGGTGTGGACGGTGGGGTGTGGACGGTGGGGTGTGGACGGTGGGGTGTGGACGGTGGGGTGTGGACGGTGGGGTGTGGACGGTGGGGTGTGGACGGTGGGGTGTGGACGGTGGGGTGTGGACGGTGGGGTGTGGACGGTGGGGTGTGGACGGTGGGGTGTGGACGGTGGGGTGTGGACGGTGGGGTGTGGACGGTGGGGTGTGGACGGTGGGGTGTGGACGGTGGGGTGTGGACGAGCACAGTGGAGGGGAAACGCAGACAAGGATAGGAGAGATTGAGCATCGGTGAGGCAATTGTTATAGGGATACTTGACACACCATGGTGTTACAGGCAGTTGTTATAGAGAAGTGAATGCAAAACTATCCACTTACCTTGGTGTTGTCGTCATCGTTGTCGTTGCCATCACCGCCGGCTGAACCAGCAACAGCGGCATGAGAGGAGGAGTGCGCTGCAGCCGCGTGGTGGGAGTCTCCATATGGGTCCAGCACCCACCGCAGCTCCTCGGGTGGAATACCACCGCCCGAGTCTTCACACGCCATCACCACCACCCACTCGCCCTCCTCCCTTGCTGCACACGCTTCTTCCACCCACTCCCTCACCTCCTCCTCCAACCGCCCATGCCCACTCCCACCCTGCGCCTCCCCCTCCTCCTCCTCCTCACTTGCTTCCTTTAAACCCCCCGTGCCTGAAGCCCCCATGCCCATGCCCATGCGCTGGAGAAAGCGCGAGAGGCGGGAGAAGGGCGGCTCTTGAGGCGGCTCAGAAGTGCCCCCCCCTGCCTGCCCTGCCCCCCTGTTGCCTCTAGCCACGAGGCGCTGAGGTAGGCGTGCAAGATGGGTGGCAGGGGGAAAGCGGCGCACACACGCAGACAGCTGATGCCACGCGGGGGAACCCGGGGGGAGGTGGTGAGGGGCGCGGGAGGAGGCGTGAGGAGGTGGTGGGGCAGGGGAAAAGGCGGCAGTGGCTGATGCGCAGGGGAGGTGGAAGCGGGTTGTTGAGGCGTGTGGGGCGCGCGGGGGAGGGACACAAAAGACGTGGAAGGCCACTCGCCCACCAGCAGTGTTGCCTACGGCGTGGGCTGCAGGGGAGGGGGTTCATGGGGACAGCCAAACAACAAGAGGGAGTGTGTGGTCAGAAGACAAAAGGTTGGTTTTGAGACGTCTCAAAAGGGACGCAGCAGACGTGGAAGGCCACTCGACCACCAGCAGTGTTGCCTACGGCATGGGCTACAGCGTGGATAAAAGGTTAGTTTTCAAGCCGTTTCAAAAGACGCACCAATCAACTCTTCAACGGTTTTCTTTTGACGACTCAAAAGACGTACCTGTGAGCTCTTCAATAACTTGCGCCAAGCGGGTCGGATCCCCCATGAGAACATCCGGGACACCACTTGGCATGTCACTGCAATGCACGCACAGCAACCACAGCACAATCACAACAAGACACACCAGCAAACCAGCAGGTACGTACCTGTGAGCTCTTCAATGACTTGCGCCAAGCGGGTCGGATCCCCCATGAGCACATCCGGGACACTCTCGTCCACGTGGCATGTCACTGCAGCCCACGCACAACACAGCCACAGCACAATACAGCCACAGCACAATCACAAGAGGAATATTGAGGCGCCTCAGAAGAATCCCCCTTGAGCACATCCGGCACACTCTCGTGCACGTGGCATGTCACTGCAGAGCACAGCAGCCACAACACAGCCACAATAGGACATCAATGAGTGAGTGTGAACGCATGGCGATTGCTCCACCAACTTTATAGAGTTTATCGAGTTTCTTGAGTCACAAACTTTACAGAGTTTGAGTCGCCATAAAACAAATGCACGGCTATAGCTCCACTCCACCATTGTGAGAGCGAATTGGCACGCATCAAGCTGCTCATACCTTGCGGGTCATCTGTTGGCGCGCTCGATCCAACATGTGCAATCGCGTCGTGGACAATGCTGCGCAAGATGCACGGGAGAGTCTCGAGCTGCAGCCTGCCGGCCTGCAGCTTGGCGAGGTCCAACACTCGGTTGATGAGCTCCACCGTCTCGCCCGCACACGCCCTCGCCACCCGTAGGTCCTCACGCTGCCACTCTTCCAATTGCGACTCCAAGAGCTCCTCTATCATGCCTGTGTGGGAGAGGAGGAGCAGGGAAGGGGGGAGAAGGGGGCCCTGCAGCTTGGCGAGGTCCAACACTTGATTGATGAGCTCCACCGTCTCGCCCGCACACGCCCTCGCAACCCTCAAATCCTCACGTTGCCACTCCTCCAATGAGGATTCCAACAACTCCTCGATCATGCCTGTGGGGGGAAAGAGGTTCAATCAAACACTCGGTTGATAAGCTCCACCGTCTCGCCTTCACACACCCTCACCACCCGCAGGTCCTCATGCTGCCACTCCTCCAAACTTGACTCCAGTAGCTCCTCTATCATGCCTGCGTGGGAGAGGAGCAGCAGGGGGGGGGGGGAGAGGCGGGGGGGAGAGGGGGGGGGGGGGGCCTGCAGCTTGGCGAGGTCCATCAATCGGTTGATCAGCTCCACCGTCTTGCCCGCACACGCCCTCGCCACCATTGTCACTACCATTACCGCATCACTATTACCATTACCCCATCACAGTTACCATTATTGCATCACTACTACCATTACTGCAACACCGTTACCATTACCACATCACCAATACCACATCACGATTACCTTTATACGCCGATGAGCAGCTTGCGCAGCTCATGAGACGTGTTGGCCACCGTCTCACTCGTGGACTTCTCACCTCTCTTTCCAGCAGCTTTTGATGCGACTCAAAAATCACACCACGCATCTCGTCCTCACTCACACGCCTAAACGTCCTAACACATGCACGGGTCAAAGCCCTCACACATGCATGTGCACCCTCCCTCACACAAACCAATACATGCCCTCGCTCTCTCACCTATCACACCAATGAGTGGCGTGCGCAGCTCATGCAATGAGTTGGCCACCGTCTCACTCTTGAGCTTCTCAGCTCTCCCTAACGCCTTTTGAGGGGCGCCTCGAACCTCACACATACATGCGCGCCCTCCCTCTCTCTCTCACCTATCACGCCGATGAGTGGAGTGCGCAGCTCATGAGACGTGTTGGCCACCGTCTCACTCTTGGACTTCTCAGCTCGCTCCAACGCCGCCGTACACAGCTGCATCTCTCTCAACCCCTTTGCCATCTGCCTTCGCTTCCACGCCAGCATGGCGATCACGAGGGACAGCAGCACAGCCACCACCAGCACCAGCAGGCCCAGCAGAATGGGAGCAACAACCAGGTCCCACCTGGGGTAGGAGCCCTCAAACCTGCACGCGGACATTCGTGTGCGGAAGAAAGGGGGCATGTGAGTGAATCAGCTGCATCTCACTCAGGCCATCTTCCATCTGTCACCATTTCCATGCCAGTACGGCTATCACGGTGGGGAGAAGGACAGCCACCACCAGCACCAGCAGGCCCAGCAGAATGGGAGCAACAACCAGGTCCCACCTGGGGTAGGGCCCTTCAAACCTGCGTTTAAAGGGATTCACGTGAAAGGGGGGAACATGATTCCATGAATCACGAGGGACAGCAGCACAGCCACCACCAGCACCAGCAGGCCCAGCAGAATGGGAGCAACAACCAGGTC